GTGTGATTACTACATTACTCTAATTACTACAATCACATGAGATTCTTCAGAAACATCCCTCATTTCTGTAGAGCTAGACATGAGTGAGTTCAGCTTTGAGAAAGAAACCAACCTGTTAGTTCCTCCGTATCTTCATGTTTCAGACTGAACACTTCTTCAATCCTGAAGTCTATACTCTCCTCTTTAATAAACATCATCTTTACCAGTGTGTCCTGCAGATGTCAGCAGGAGTTCCTCTGAGCTTGTCCTGTTTGAGAGAGAATCATTCAGACTCATAAACCCAAACTACATCTCTGAGTGAGGTGATCGGGAGAATATAGTTAATAGACTGCATGTTCACGGCTGGTTTGTAAAAGTTGTGCTTTCATCTCACAAAACGTGTTTTTCATTGCTTTGTTGAGTTTGTCTGGTGCCTCGAGCGACTCCGAACACAGAATCGTTTTGACTCAATTGACTCGGAGTCGCTGAATGCGTGTTTGTGATGAACTGATTCACAACACAGAGAGAGAAAGGAGCCGCGCTGTTCTTTTCCGTTACTCACATAAATAACGTGCATTAGCGGTAGATAAAGCATTACGATGCTGCAGTCAAGAATAATCATTTCATTTACATCGCCTGTTTATATCGATTTAAACACTTTCTCCACAAACCTTTCTTCCGCCGAATCACTACAGCGCAGGCGTGACGTCACAACACCACACCAAAATAAAAGTCCCGTTCGCGCATTAAAACGGCTGACGACTTCCCGCGGGCGTGGTTTGAGCGCAAGGTCAAGGAGCATGCGCAGTTTACACGACCTGCGGAGATCTTATCACGTCTAGCATTACACAGTGGGGGAAGAAAAACTCACGTGACACCTTGATAATTGGGAATATATTTCATATCACTGTTGGTCTCTCTCTCTCTCACACACACTCTCACTCACAATAAACATGTGTCTGAATAAGAGGCCCAGCTCCTGCTGCACACAACATCCCCAAACCACGACACTTCTTCCTCCACCTGTTAATGACTTCTTTACGCACTCGGGCTTCAGAACAAAATATTTCCCATCTGACCCAAATAAACTAAACTTGCTCTCATCAGTAAAGTGCACTTTGGAGCAGTTCTCCTCTCTCCACACAACATGCTCCTCAGCACAGCTGAGTCTAGCCTTTTGATTCGTTCTGCTGCTGAGAGGCTTGGTCACTGCAGAGTGCGCTTTCAGTCCGACTGAGACAGATCCGTACCCTGTTCAGCGCTGAACTGGCCAGCAATTCCAGCTGGACGTGGACCACAAGCCTTTTTGGGGGACTTGAACCTACAATATTTGAGAAATCACAGATTTGGAACGACCAGCTTCTCTTGCAGTGGCTGAAAGGTTCATCCCTTTAGCTTTCATCTGTCGCAGGGTTTCAGTCACTCTCCAGCGGCCCGCCGTCTTGCAATCTCAGTGAAAATTAGAGGAATGCTGCCAGTTTAATAGGGTTTGTCATATAAATAAAGACATTAGCACCAGGTGCCAGATTAACACAGATAACTATGGGTGTTCTCTCATTTTGATCAGTTATTTCTCAAATATCTCATATAAGCTTTTTATACTGTGCTTCAGAATACTATTAATTTATTAAATATGCTTAAAAACTGCTCTTCTACCCCTGTTAGGATAACTTCAAATAGGACTAAGCAGTGATCTTGAAGTTCTGGAAATTGTAGGTTGTTCTCTAATCTTGATCTGCACTGTACAAATCTTTTGTGTTTTATCAACCTTTTTGAGAAGCTTAAGAAAGCAGTTTTGTTTAAAATAGAAACCACTCAAAATCAAGTATGTTCCCTTAAAGAGGCATTTATTAATTTTTCACCAAAATGTGAAACTTGCACTCACTGGTGTCTTAACCAAAGCACAGGAGAAATACTTTACAGCTTGATGGTTCTGGTTAGGGCAAGAGCATTCTGGACAGATACATTAAAAATAATTAATGCCACATAAAAGATGTCCATTTATTTATTAAAAAGAAAAAGGGCTTTTCACATATGAAATAGTGAAACCTGGGTCATTCTAAACCCTGGCTAAAGGGAATCCTGGGTTTTCTTATTTCCCACGGCTCATACTTTATCCAGGGTTAACCACTCATCCTGGGCATTCATTTATAAAGCCCAGATTAACATTAGTTGTGTTCGGTCTGAAGTGGCGCTGTGCAGACTGGTCAGTTTGTGACATCAAAGTACCGTGAGAGCGATTCGAAGCACACAGAACCGTCTGCTCTCTACAGCTGTCTTTGATGTCACAAACTGGCCGGTCTGCACAGCGTCGCTTCAAGCCAAACACATGACTGGATGAGCGCAGCACAGGACCTGTTTACATAACAACCTCGTATCATAGACTGCAGACCTTACCAGACCGTTTCTCCTGAATGGACTTTTCTTGGAAAATAAAGTTGAAAATGAAATGGCCTCTTCTTAACTCCAATTCATGTGTTTTCCATCATTACTCAATATGTTGCTGCAGAAGATACTGTTTATACACTCCGTGCTGTTTCTGTGACTGTCCAACAGATGTGAATATGCATCTACAGTAGTAGTTAACAGCATAAAAGCAGTGCTAATGCTGACCCAGGGCAGGGTTCATAACCCGGGGGAACAAGTGGTGCTAACACTGCTTCTAAACTGCACGTGTAAACTGTTGCTTTACCCGGGGTTTAAAACAGCAGTAACCCAGGGTTAATAACAGTGTGAAAAGCCCTAAAATGTTACACAAAGACACAAGTTGTGGCCATGCAGTCTTATTTTTGTTTTCTTTGCACACAAAAAGTATTCTCATAGCTATTTAAACAATGTCCTTATTAGGTTTCTGGGCCTTGACCGTGGTGGGACCCTTGCTGTCTATGCAGGGTCAGAAAGCTCTTGGATTTCATCAAAAAATATCTTAATTTGTGCTCTGAAGATGAACGAAGGTCTTACGGGTTTAGAACGACATGAGGGGGAGGAATTAACGACAGAATTTCATTTTTGGGTGAACTATCCCTTTGAGATAACATCTAAATAACAATATGATGGCTGATAAATGGGCAAAATCTAATTCTGTTGAAGTGAAATATGTACAGTATGATACTACATACAAAAGAGTTTATGAGGATTCATATCTATGTAGATATCATTACTTCCTGAAAGTGAGTGTGTTATGGACACTTGCATCTTTGGAGCATCTGCTACCAGAAGTGATTGCCTCTCACACGGATTGGAAGGAAAATCCTTCTCATTTGAGAGAACGCCACCTTAAAATAAAAGACATCAAGAAAAAGACACAATATACTGACAAATATAAAGATTGTAAGATTTACGCTTGTCATAATCACCTTTTCAAACATCCAGGAGTCAAATCTGTTTTCGAGCTTCAAAGTGTCCAAATATGCATTTATCACCCGTGACAAACAAGAAAGAATCTTAGCTTTGAAGATTTGACTAAGTGTATAAAACACTGAACCTGTCGTGACACCTAATTCTACCTCATCATTTAACCAGTCCACAGACAGACAATCTAACTTTCTCACGCTTGTTGTCTCAGTCTCTGTCAAATAATACCACAGTTTACATTTCACATGCAATAACACCTCAATTAGTTAACTTCCCCTAGTTACAGTATAATGAGTTTATAACATTTACCTGCTACTCACCTGGCAGAACTATTGTAGCACAGTCTGTCAGCGAGTTTTCTTTCAAAGAACCAGACTGGTCGACCGTGTCACCTGTTACATAAAATAAGATGCATTAAACGACGTCTTTTAAATTGGATGCAGACAGCAATTCTACCCTTAATGATCTTACCACTGTTTCTTTTCTCAATTTTTCTTCTTTTGCTTCTCAACTTTCCTTTTCTCTTCTGGGTTGGGAGCGCACGAAGTTTCAGCTTCACATCATCTTTCTTGCTTAGAAGAGGTAGAGCATCTTCCTTTGAGAGCATTTCATCTCTCCTGCAATCCATCGATGACTGCAGTCGCATTTCACAGCAACTCAAGATCCGTGCATAGGTAAGACAGATCCAGCAGGATTTTTAATTTCTCTCGTAGATCACTCCATTTGCCTCCACATCCATCTTCAAGCACTGGATGCACAGTCTGGCTCTTGTCAATCACTTAATTTAATTTGAAAAATGCCTTTCTAAGCTCCCTTTACAGTCAGTGCACCTGAATGCATAACAATCACTGTGACACAATCGAGCATTTCCATGGACACTGCTGTAACCCTACCTCTTTCATCACCAGCCAGATTTTCTCAACATAGCTTCGATCTGCTGTGTTAGTCTTATACAAGACACTGTCCTGAGCGTACGTATGTCTGTCTCTATCATGTACGACGCAGGCCAAGACGTTCACTGCGATCCTGATCAGAGAGATGGTTCTTGCCTGCAAGTTACATCTAAATGACTATTACTTTTTAAAATGTGAACACTACTCATATATAATGCACATGCAATCTCTCGCATTTCTCCTGTAAAATGACTTTTTACACAACATCACTATTTCTCCATTAATAAGCAGTGGAGGCATTAGCAGAGAATGAAGAGAAGAGCGACTGATATACATTAAGCTCAGTAGGATTTAGTGATTTACGCCATACTCTTTCTGCAGCTCTGAGCTTAGAACGATGCTCACGGAGAACATCAGATATATACAAGACTTAACAATACATTACTTCTTATGAATAAAGTAAACAGACAAATGTGAGGTTTGTAATTGCAAAGAAAATGTAGAGCACATATTAATTAAATGCAAGCAATTCAGAGAAGAAAGAGAAAAACTTAAACAAATCATTATAAAAGTTGGAAGGGAATGGGACATGAAGTTACAGCTGAAGTTACCGGAGCAATAATGCATTTGTTTGCGAGACAGTGGCTTAATTAGAAGAATTTAAGATCACAATGACGTCATGATGTTATACACTCCAATATAGTAGGTGGCAGTATGCACCTTAACGTTGGGTTGTAACCGCTAGAACACTAGAAGAAGAAGAACAGCGGAAGTACGGCGGAAGATGAAAGTTAACACTTCCGGAAACATTTGCGCGTAGGCTAGTGGAAGATGCTATCAGCGTTTGTTTGAGCATCAGTCTGATTATTACAGGACTAAACCCGCTGGATTCCTCGGATTACTGACGGATATGATCGCTGAAGGCGACTGAGGCGTGGAATGCAGAGAAACGAGCGCGGAAGTGAGAGGAAGTGACCGGAAGCGGCGGCAGCTTTTGTTCGCGTAATACACAAGCATCTGATCGCGCTCGTGTTTGTGTCCCGAGCAATGAGCCGCTGACGGACGCAGACAGGATTCGACCCGTGATCATGATCTGACGCTCGGCCCGTGGTGCAGCGGTCACTCATGGCGCTCTTCCGCGAGTTCCAGGCTCCGCCGGAGTGTCCGGTGTTCGAGCCCAGCTGGCAGGACTTCAGCGACCCGTTCAGCTTCATCCGCAGGATCCGAGAGATCGCCGAGAACACGGGCATCTGCAAGATCCGACCTCCGCAGGTACCGTAACATTGATTTACCATAGTACACCACAGTAAAACACCAGGCCCACCGCCGCCGGTACCGTAACATTGATTTACCATAGTACACCACAGTAAA